TCAACAGGTACCAAGTAGCCATCAACAACCAGGAAGATACAAGCATGAGTGCAAGCCCATCCCCTGGGCTGGAACTTCTTCAAACTAAAAGGAAGTGGTGGAGCCTGCTTCGACACACTTCCACAGACATTGACTGCCTCTTTCAAGAACCTCCCCTGGGCCCAGATTGAGTGCGTAGGCCTTCCCTGTGTCTTTCTCCTTGTCCCTCCCTTGCTTGGGGCCTCATGGAGGTTCCCAGGCCAGTGTACACAAGGTGGGGAGTGAGGGTCATAAGAAGAAAAAGGACATTTAACAAATGCTAATGATCACCATAATAAGTCCTGAGAATGATCACTTACAGTGTTGTTATAACTTAAAAGAGTGCCTATTTTTGTAGAGCAAATATACACTAGCAATAACTAATGGAAAAGTAACAGATGAATTTGTATCAATAGAGCTTTCAAAGGAGACTATGAAAAGGAAGGAAGCAGCAATAGGGTACAGAGTCTGAGACCTTATAAGTGCCTATAGAACAAGCAAATCTGGAAGAAAGGTAACCTGGAGCTATAATCATACGGCAGCTACAAAGCCTCACTCTCTCAGGTAAGACTCCTGCAGCTTTGCCCACGGCAGGCAGGCAGGCATGCCGAGCCCTGTCAGGCTGATGAAGCAGTTAACTGAGAAGACAAAAAGAAAACAGAAGGGCCCAAGCAAATTTCTTGAACTTGGTTCAAAAGAACCTTGAAAATGCCTTGAAATATCTGAATTCCATTGAAACTACCATAGTGATGGCCTTCTAGTTGGCTTTGACCAGAGTTGGTCACTTTCAGTGAATTCTGGTGACCACGACGTTTAGGTTCCGAATGTTGGGGGAGGGGAGGGGAATGTGTGCGCCGGCGCGCTGGAGAGAATATTTACCTTTATGATTAATGTAACTAAGCAAAGCAGAACAATGACCTTTGTTCAAAGACCTTTGTTCCTGCTTACTACTCAAGAAAGGATACTGTATCCTTTTAAATTTAACAATAGGAACATTTTTACTTAAGTTAGAGTAAAATACCATGTTCCAGAAAACAGTTATCATCTCGCAAGTAGAAGTTCGCTGTGGTAAAACGCACAGGGAAAAAAATGACAAGATAGTGATTTTAAATTTACTAATTTCCAAGAGTAAACTTTTGTAATCTATGAGGCCATACGAACTGTCTTAGAGTTGAGAAGTAGAAAAAGGAACCACATGGAGTTGGTGGAATCTCAGTTCTTCAAACAGGACAGTGTTGATTTCCTGTCACCATGCCTTGCCCAGGACTTGCCCCCTGGAGGGAAGTGCCTGATACATTTTTGTGGAATGATTAAAAACTTGTGAATGTTTTATTCACTCACATATCCTGAATTCCAAGCACATAATGTGTGACCAGTAATTATTTGTGGGTTGATGGATAACTAATGCCTACCCAAACTATGACAGATGCGGTCCATTGCCTTCTTCTGCCCACCATTCAGGAACTGCTCCTGTCGACATGCCCTTCCTTCCCCGTGATATCCTTTGAGAAATGGTTCAGTGTGGCAGTTACTTGTTCAGGCTTTGGAAACAGACAAACCTATTTTCAAAAAAGCAGAAGCCTGGCTCTACCAGTTCTTGGGTGAACAACTAGTTTGACCTCTCGTCACAGTTTTTTTCCTTGGTAGAAGGAACAATAGTACCTACCCTGGAGAGTTGTGAAGTTTCAATCAGACACAGCAAGTAAAGCACGTAGCACAGAAGTTAGCAGGCGGGAAGCACTTAGTAATGCTGATATACCACGTACAATTCTTGAACTGCAACCTTGTTCCAACTTTGTATTTCTCCAAATAGCTGCCTCCCTTCCCTCCCCCACCCCGGACACACACACACACACACACACACACACACACACACACACACACACACACAAATCGCAAAATAAACAGTGTTTTCCAACCTGGGTTATTCTGAATCCTCAGAGGTTTTGTACCTGTTTGGTTGGTTTTATTTTACTAAAAATACAGTCACTTTGGGAAGGAGGAAAATGCTGACAAGGTGGGAGCCAGGTTCCTCAGTCTTTTCCAATCGCAGTTCTTTGAAGATTAAAAAAAAAAAAATCCCCTGCGAAAATAAGTTTGAAACCATTTTCTCATACTACATTGCTTCTCACATGTTTTAGTACAGCTATAAAGAGATCTATGTCTTCTTGCCAGCAATTGGCTGGACTGTCTTGGCAAATCACTTTAACTTCTCTGCTCTTAGCTTCCTACTCCACAAAGTATGTCATTTGGAAAGATAGTACCTAGGGTTCATGTCCTGTTAGTTTTAGTACTAACTTTAGATCACACAACCCCTAAGGAGAATTGTTTTGAATAGTTTGATGAATTGAAACTTTCCTACCAATAAATTGCAATAACCATTTAACTCTAATAACTTGAGACACAGTATGTATACAAATAAACATGGGTCGAATGTCAAGAGTGAGGGGATGATTTAATTGAAATGGTGATGGACCCTCGTGGGTCCATGCTGTGCTTCAGCATGCTGTGGGGGATATGACAGTTCTTTTCTACCAGCCTAGGGCTATGGGAAAATGACATAAGCATTATTAAGTACCCCAAACTCCGAATGATTAGAAGTAGGAGTCTGGCTATCTTGGCTCTTCTTATTCTCCAGTAGATTGTGAATCAAATTAAATCATCTATATATCCCATGCACAGGCCAAAGCACCTATGTTCTCCTTTGCTACCACTGTGGGCCAAGCCACCGTCCCCTCCTTTGACTTTATCATAGGCTCCATAGGGTCTCTCTACGTGCACTCTTGTACCTCCTATCTGCTATAAATAGATGCTCATTATTCTCTCTCACTGGTACCTGTACATTTCTTTCAGCATTATCATATTTGGTTATTTACCTTTGTGGTTATTTTCTATTTCTCCCACTAGACCGTGAGCCCCAGGAATTCAGAGGCCTTTCTTTCTTTTTTTTAATTTTTATTAAGGTATTATTGATACACACTCTTATGAAGGTTTCACATGAAAAAACAATGTAGTTACTACATTTACCCATATTATCAAGTCCCCACCTATACCCCAATGCAGTCACTGTCCATCAGTGCAGCAAGATGCCACAGATTCACTATTTGCCTTCTCTGTGCTACACTGTTCTCCCCGTGACCCCCCACACCATGTGTACTAAACATAATACCCCTCAATCCCCTTCTCCCTCCCCACCCGCCCTCCCACCCCCCTGCCCTTTGGTAACCACTAGTTCCTTCTTGGAGTCTGAGTCTGCTGCTATTTTGTTCCTTCAGTTTTGCCTATACTCCACAAATAAGGGCAATCATTTGGCACTTTCTCCTCCTGGCTTATTTCACAGGGCATAATGTCCTCCAGCTCCATCCATGTTGTTGCAAATTGTAGGATTTCTTTCTTTCTTATGCAGAGGCCTTTCTTATTCACTACTGTAGCCCATCTGCACTTCTCACCTAGTGCCTAGCATAAAGAAGCCTTCCCATAAAGTCAATGAATGAATGTGTGTGAATTCTTCAAGGCTCAGAAACTATGTCTTAATTCACTTTTGTGTCATTAGCACCAAGGGCAGTGCCAGTGCCAAGCAAGCACTTAATAATCGCTTGTTCCATGTTTGATTCATTTGATGCAGAGATGACTCTCCTCTCCAGGTTTTAGAAAAAACTGTATTTGAACCTTACATACCCTGCTGGCTGTGTGACTTTGAGCCTGGACTTTGTTAGTTGCATAACTGGAGCTAACGCGTATTTTACAGGGTTGCTCTAGGATAAGCTCAGGCTTCTGAAGGGCACTGCACAATGCTGGACATGGTATGTACTAATAGTATCCGTACCTAGCCCCGGGGGGAAAGCTCAGGGAGGAAATCTGAAAGGGAAGAAGAAACTGACTCCTCAACTAGGAAAAAAACAAAACCCAAGCCAGGAAGTTTTGCATACAAAAAGTCACTACTCCCCTGAACTACCCAGTCTTAGTATTTATTTTATTTTATCTGACTATTAAAATGTTGGAGAAGAAAGGGGCATGTTGAGGGAAGGGGTGTCATTGGTGGGTGGGGGGAGGAGGTAGCCAACTCTGTTGTTTTCCTCTGTTCCAAATCCAATGTAGCAATGCCTTCACAGCCACCTGCAACTTGGAGTTGTTCAACTATACAGTAATTAATATTTATAAAGAGAACGATGTAGCAGATGCTGACAAGGACTGGGCACTATTTGGAATCCATACATTTAACACATCATAATTGAAACGCTTCAGTGGCAGGTATTGAACCCTAAACACAGCCTGCAAGGATCTGACCCATTTTTGCCTCATCTCATCCCAATCTCCTCCTTGTTCCCTGAACTTCCACTATGATCTTCTTTGAGTATCAGCCACAGGACCTTTGCACATTACTTCCCTTTGCGTGGACAGTTCCCTCAGTTAACTAAATTCATCGTTATAGTTCAAGTCAAGGTCACTTCTTCAGAGACTTCCCCAACTCTTCAGTCTGTCCTAGAACTTTCTTCCAGTCATTCACAGTGAGGTTTCACTTTGTAGGTACACACCTAGATGTGTGGTAATTTTGCTTACTATTTGTCTCACCCCATAATTTATACTCTGTGAGAGCAGAACCGATGAATGACTTGGTTATGGGGTGAATCCCCAGAATGGTTCCTGGCGAAGGTCTGCTGAATGAATGAACCAGGGAAAAGTTTCCAGAACTCATGTAGGGATCTGAACACAGGAGCGAGGGCGCCAAGTTCGGAGTGTGGGGGTGGTGTGGGGGACCCTGACCAATAAATAAATGAGTACCTGCTGCCAGAGAAGCTAAGTTCCGCGCCTTCCTCCAGGTCAGGGGCGATTCCTTGCACCCCTTCCCCAGACGAGTTCGGAGGAAGGGGTGGGTTTAAGGGCGGATGCTGGAGCCGAGAGCATGGTGATCGATCAGTCGAGCAAAGGTCAGGTCCCGGTGGTGATCCTTGGTCCTTGGCAAGGCTGCAGGAGTCCCGGGTGCCCGGCTGGGGCAGGCAGCCAGCTGGGCTCTCTCACCGCCCCTTGAGCGCAACCCTGAGCGCCCTCGTCCGCGCCCAGGAGCGCCAGCCAATGCGCCCGGGACTCGGCTGTTGCTCCTCCGCCAGGGCGTGCGTGATTGGCAGCCCCCAGCCTCAGCCCGGGCGCGCCCGCCCAGCGGAGACCCAGTCCAGCCCCCGGCAGCTCCGGGACGGCCGCGTCCTCCTCTCCGCCCGGCGGGTGCCCGGCGCGGGGTCTGGGTCCGGCGGCGCCTTCGCCGCAGGCGCCCCGGGGCAGCGAGGTTGGAGGCGGGCGCGGTCGGCGCTTTCCTCGCTCGGCCGGGCCATGAAGGTCGAGTTTGCGCCGCTCAACATCCCGCTGGCGCGGCGGCTGCAGACGGCGGCGGTGCTGCAATGGGTCCTGTCTTTCCTGCTGCTGGGTAAGGGCCCCGCGCGCTCCTGGCAGCGCAAGATCCAGCCAAACACCGCGGGGCAAACGGCTCCGTCGCCTGCCTCCCGGGCAGTCCTTGTCCAAGGACGTGCTTGGACCTTCGGACCCTGCCTCCCTTGTAAACCAGGACAGGCAGGGCAGACCGAGAGTTCGGAGCTAACTTGAGACTCTCCTCTTTCGTTTCTCTCCCCACGTGAACCTCGTTGCGAACAACTGTTTGCCAACATTATTTTCCTCGGTGCTATTTTTAAAAATCGAGGTGAGACTTTACCTACAATGAAAGGCATAGGTTGTAAGTATCGACTCAGTGAATCTGAGCAAATGTGTACCCCCAGATGTGGCCACGTCCCAGTGGAACCGTGGAGCCTTGCACTCCAGCCCCTCAAAGTTGGGGAACTTGTTCCTTGAATTTCCGATTCTTGTAAGGAAAACCAATGGCAAGTATTTAAAATCTGATTCCTTCCTCTCCCACCCTCAAAACAACTAGCCGTGAGCTTTAACGCGTTTAAGATCTTCTGGATGCAGAGAAGTACCTTTCTGCAGGAAGGCCGCAGCAAACATTGGGTTGGATTGAGGGCTTCTATCTGTACGGAATTCGATCCAGGCGTGTGATCTAGGGGGTTCCCAAGTTAAGCCCATGTAGACACGCATACGGGCCAGTCACCAGTTGGGGCAGGGCGGCTTACCTGAGCACTTTTGTTCCTGGATGTCCGCTCAGCTCTTGGAGTAAATGAAGGATTGGTTGAGAGGAGAGAGGAATTACTGAGAACCTGACGTTCTGAAGACTAAAGATGGCTTGTATGCTATAAAAGTATGTCTATATGCTGTTGAGGCCACAATAGTAACACAGTATGATAAACCTCATTGCATTATAGAGGTTTACAATTTGAATATCCAGATCAGTGGTTCTCAACTCTGGGTGCAATAATGGAATTACTGCAGAAGCGTCTAATAAACATGCACGTCCAGTCTCTGTCCTTGGAATTTGCAGTTCATGTGTTTCAGAACGGAGCCTGTGCATTTGCGCATGTGTATGTGTGTGTATGTGTATATATATATATATATATATATATATATGTAAATGAGAAAAAAAAGTCTTTTCAATCAACCGATGCTTCTTCTGAATAAGGAATCTCAAAACGTTAACTCATTAAAGTCCTGACAGGCCAAACCGGGAGGCAGGGTTGAGAGCATTACACTGCATTTTGCTCTGGACCAGAAGACCATGAAGGTAATAACAGGTACACTTATTCCAGGGCTTAGTATGTGCCAAGTACTATTCTAAGCACCATACGCTATAACCAACAGTGATCTTTACAACAACCCTATAAGGGAGGAAATGTTCATTCTTGCACTCATTGTGCAGATGATGGAACTAAGAGGTGAAGTCACACAGCTAGTCAGAGATGGAGGACCTGGATGCGAACCCAAATATTCTACCCAGAGTCCTTGCCTTAACCATTAGACTGCCCACTTCAATAGCTTGAACCTGGAGATGGTCTTCCCTGCTAATCACCGCGCACGTCTCTGATAGCCCACTGTCCTTTTCTTCCATGTCACTTATCATCGCTTGTGTTTGTGTATGTCTGCAGTGACTTGAGAAAGGTCCGTATCGCCACCCTTGTCCACAAGCTCAGTGAGGGAGCGCCCAGCATGCACCTATCCCGTGGATGGTACGAAATAAATAGTTGTTGAATGGCTGTCTCCACTCTGTCACCCAGAAGGGCAGCTCTCCACCCCTCAGGTCCCTACTTCTCTTAACCCATATAAGCCACACAGCAACCCTGAGAGGTAGGGACTGCCCCTGTACTCGCTTTACAAATGAGGGAGCTTGGAGGGGAAGTAAATTGCTCAAGGTCACATGGCTCGAAGTGGGTGGTGGAGCCACAGATGTCAAATGTGTGTGCCTTGTGACTTAGACATGACCAGTGAGTCCTAATTTAAATCAAACTACAGTGGCTTGACAGGCAATTCATTTAGGTGCTTTCATTGCATGCATTTGACATTTGTGTTACTAGGAGCATATTATTTTGTATTATGTATTTTGGAAATTTTATTAGGAGAGATTTCAAACATACAGAAAAGTAGAAAGAAAGGTATGAACTCCCATACACCCATTACCTGGGTTTATAATTATTTAACAATTTGCCAAATCATTTTTATCAATGGTTTTGCCGAAGTATTTTTTAGACAAATCACATTTTGATATTTTAATTCTAAGTAGTAGGCCTATATAAAATTAAGTATTTTTCTGATTTTTCTCATTTGTGGAGTATAACAATGAAGCAAAACTGAAGGAACAGAACAGCAGCATACTCAGACTCCAGGAAGGGACTAGTGATTACTAAAGGGGAAGGGTGGGGGAGGGTGGGTAGGAGGGAGGGGAAGCGGTGGGAGGTCATGGAGAAGACAGTATAGCACAGAGAAGACAAAGAGAAGACAAGTAGTGACTCTGTGACATCTTACTACACTGATAGACAGTGACTTAAGTGGGGTATGGGGGGACTTGATAATATGGGTGAATGTAGTAACCATTATGTTTTTCATGTAAAACCTTCTTAAGTATATATCAATGATACCTTAATTTAAAAAATTTAAATATTTTTTACATAGTCATCATGCCATTGTCACTGTGGCATAACTAATAATTGTTGCTTAAAATCATCTAAACTAAGCTCATCTTCATATTTCTTAAATGGTGTCAAAATAGGCTTTTATCAGTGATTTATTTGAACTAGGATCCAAACAAGCCTCTCGTGTTGCATTTGTTTTTATGTCTTCTAATTTAGAACACTGTTCCCCTGTTTGTTTCCTTGTTCGTGAGGCATTGAAGAAAGCCCAGTTACATGTCCTGCAAAATGTCTCACTTTCAGAATTTCCCTGATTGCTTCTTTGTAGTGTTGACTTGTTCCTCAATCCCCTGTATTTCTGCTAAAATGGAATTTAGATCTATAGGCTTGATAAGATTTAGGTGAAACCTTTTTGGCAGGACTTTTTCTTGGGTGCTACTGTACCCTTCATATTGCATTACGTCACAATAGACGTCATGGCTAGTTGTCTCATTACTAATGTCAAAGAGTGATCAGTGGGTTCAGGAAGGAATCTGAGGGGTGGTAATTGGCATGCTGCAAACAAGTTTCCCATTGACCATTGCCCTTTCCTGCAGTGACTTAAGTCTCCATTAATGATCCTTGCCTGAATTAATATTTTATTTGGGACTGTAAAATGGTAGTTTTCTTATTCAGTCATATATTCTGCACATATTAACTAAAATTTATGCAAGGAATAATTTTTTACCATCATCGAGGGCTGCTTGACTACCCAACAATTCAATTCTTACAGGAAGAATAGCATAAAAGTGTCTTTCCATTATCAGTTTTAAAGTAAGAGTTGATGTAATAGCTACCTCCAGTGGTGACAAGAGAGTTTTATTAACTGTGTATTTTAAGATCTCTAGATCAAATCCTGGAATGCATTTTTCTTTCCACCCTCAGGAAATGAGTTTAAGCTGTTAGTCTGGGATATATTTAAGAATCACCAAATGTTTCATTTAGTCATGAATCAAGCACTGTTTCTCTGAGACAAATGTTAAGTACCTGTCATCCAATCTTACAACATTGTATTAATTTTAGGTGTACAGCATAGTGATTGATGTATGTATATATTGCAATGTGAGGACCACAATAAATTTAATTAATATCCATTACCATATATAGTTACAACTTTTTTTCCTTGTGATGAGAACCTTTAAAATTTACTCTCAGCAACTTTCAAATATACATTGTGGCATTGTTAACTATGGTCAATATGCTGTACATTACATCCCCAGGACTTACTTATCTTATAACTGGAAGTTTGTACCTTTTGACATACTTCACCCATTGGTCTATGCCCTTATCCCCAGCAGCCACCAATCTGTTCTCTACCTATGAGTTAGATTTTTTTTAGATTCCACATATAGGATCGTACAGTATTTGTCTCTCCCTATCTGACTTAATCCATGTAGCATAATGTACCTTAGGGTCCATTCATGTCATCACAAATGGCAGGGGTTCCTTCCTTTTAATGGCTGAATAATATTCCTGTGTGTGTGCGTGTACACAGACACCAATTTTCTTTATCCATTCACCCATCACTTAAGGTGTTTCCATGTCTTGGCTGTTGTAAGTAATGCTTCAGTGAACACAGACAGTGCGGATATCTTTCTGAGATAGTGATTTCATTTCCTTCAGATAATTACCCAGGCGTGGGATTGCTGATTGCTGAATCACCTGTCATCCAGTCTTAATATTCAAGAAACAAAACATTACTGACTAGCTTGCATGCTACCAACCAGCTAACTGAAAAGTGGGAAACCAAAAAAGAGCCAACATTTATTGACCGCTTTCAATGGACAACCCCATGTGACAGGGATTATTAGATTAATTTTTTTAGATGAAAAAACTAAGGCTCAAAAATGAAGTATCTTCAGAAAACCACATTGAATGGGACCATGATCTTTTACTAAGTGGGTTTGTTTATTTACATACTTAAACAGCCTTATTGCAGCAAAATTGACATGTAGTAAACTGTACATATTTAAAGTATACAGTTTGATATGTTGTGATATATACATACATATATATATGTATATATCCCCAAGAAACCATTACCACAATTAACAGAGTGAACATAGCCATCATCCCCAAAGGTTTCTCCTGTCCCCTTTGTAGTCCCTCTCTGCCTGTCTTCTCCATGCATTGATGTGCTTTCTGACATATAGATTAGTTTCATTTTCTAATGTTTTATAGAAATGTAGTCACATTGTATGTCCTTTTTTGCTCTGGCTTCTTTCACTCAACATAATTATTTTAAGATTTATTCTTGATTTATGCATAAAAAGTTATTGCCTTTTGTTTTCTGAAGTTATATTCTGTCAAACAGATACATTGCAAATTGTCCATTCATCTGTAGATGACTATTTGGGTTTAGCTATTAGGAATAATGCTG